AGATTAGATTGATATACATAGATCTCTTGAAAGCACACGTGTTTCGCTATTGATTTTTTAGTTAAGGTGTCCATAATATATATCGTTTCCATTCAGAAATGTAGAAGGGATGAGATGCAAATTTACATCTTTCTGGTTCAAATTGATTCAAATGTATTCTTTGGGGTCACTTGTAAGTGTATGCAAAGCAGTTCTTACATGGAGGCTTCACAAAAGTTACTCTGCGCACGTTATATTGACGGTGGGCAAGCAACTTGGAATAAGAAAACCCTTAAGCGCATTGATCGTTACACGCGGATGCCGCCAACAAGTATAAAGAAATATATTCATACCCGATATGGCTACCATCACAACCGCTTTATCAATCTCCAGTCTATGTTAAGGTTACACCCAGTGACCGATGTCTTTAACACAGATCCCATGGACAGTGGATACACAACATCGTGACTTCGCTATGCAGTTCATAAAGTACTGATGTAATGGTGCATCACTGGACGAACAATGCTCAAACAACTTACTGAACTGAACGGAACGCTTTTATTCGCTGTCTTTCAAATGTGACCTCGGAAACAGTGAAATTAATTTGCGTTAGAGATAACTCCTGTGCTACAATCTAGGCAGAGGATGTTCCAAATACGGGACAGAGCGCTGTCCATATGAGAAATAATGCGCAGGAGCAAAAGTAACCAACTCTTATCATATCACTAAAATACTTTAATCAACTATGTATACATAATGCTTATCTTAGTCCTACATCAGTGCAGATTGGCTTACGATAGTACTAAGCACAGAGAGAACATTCGAATTATTAAACAACATCTGTAAAGGGATTCAGTGGATACACAAAACGTAGGTACTTGAAACGAGTTTCGAACAAGGATTACACAACTGTACGGTGCTATTTATCGTACGTCTAACATTTCCATTGATAAACTCCCTTTAAGTAAAATGTATCCGCACGTTTACGGTAGCACAACTGATTCCTTCGAGCATTATGGAAAAACATAGTTTAGCATTGATTTGATTTTGAAATTACCAGTCGAGGGAAATTCGTTCACACAAAACGGTGTTTTCTCATTCAGTTTACTACCGTCTTGATTGGGAGGTTTAGATTAATGTCACCCGATAACCGACACACCGCATTTAGCATTCAAACGGATCGATAAAGCACGCCAGTTGTGCAAAACACATAAATAACCAAGTCACGTTTACTGCCGGACCACCATAAGGATATTTCGGATATTTGATAAAAAATACGTTACTGTCATTCCCTGACCACAAATGTCGTTTCAAGTGATCAAATAAGCATTGGTCAGATCTCGTAGAACTGGGTGCAGTACACAAAAAGCCAAACCTCCATGGTATCTTCAATGCCAAGGGAAATGCGCATGACACTGTTCATCTGACATGAATAAATAAAAAGAAGTGCTATGTCGCCATATGCTGTGGAATGCTCAGACAATCATGAGACAACGGCACCTAGGGTCCGTGATTAACCAAAATGATTACCTACAAGGTTCGGTGTTCAGTCAAACTTCACAAATGCAACGACTCTCAGTAAAATCGTGTATGGTAACTAATGCAGTAACGATTCACAACTGAAACTATTTTCTGTCATTCTACTACTGCTTATAACAGCTGTTCTATTTGATATTATCATCATTTTTATTAGGAGAGCGATAAAACCGAATAGTGTTCACTGTGTGTCTGCTTATATGCCTAGACAAAGAACAGCACTTCACAAACGCCGGCGAATGAAACTGATTAGCAATCATTGAACGAATCAAATGGTGATATTAGTTGGTTTTTCTCAAGTAACCGAAACTGCATTCCTTGTGTAAATGATAGTGGATTGATTTGTTTTTGGTTTCCGTAACGCTTGTCAATATGTACCGGGAGCGCCTTTTACATTATTCCTCATCCTAGCAGAAAACCCGGAGGAAGTTCAGATAGTCTATAAAAACACCCATATTGAACGAAACGTACATTTGCAGTCACCGCAATCTCCAGAGTTTTCTGCTTCTCGATTGGTTGCGGTTATTGCCTGATGCGTAGTTTGCCCAATTGGGCATCAAAGTGGTGTATCTGTTGGATTTAGTATGATCGGCATGAAGACAATCCTTGGTCAGTTCCCGAAATCACCGGATGACATTGTAGCTACATCCTGTTACGTTTACACTGACCCTGCACATTAATTGGTAGCTGCACGTCATTTCTTCATGAAACCATGGTTCAATATTAGCAAATAATCAATCGATGACCTGGAAAAGGTTCATCAAAAGAGAACGCAATCAGTGATCAATCAGCAAAATGTGTATGGTGTGACCCCATTCATTCCATAACTCACACCCATTTCCTGATTGCCGTTCTCGAGCTAATTAGCAAAACTGGGGAATATCCTCAGGCTACAAATTATCACAGAGCGTAGGCTTTTGTTTTCAAGCCGCAACAAATCATTTGTTTTAAATGGGTTGCGTCCAAAAGAAGCTCATTCTCCAATAACAGAAATTGGAACCGGTACCAGTATTAATTCCATGTATATAGGTGTATATTTTTGTCTCTCGTTCAGTTTTTTTTCAACCAACAATTTCAAAAGAAAAACTAATCAAAGACAGTTATTCCATATGAAATATCATTTCCAAACGGGATGGCCTTAAAACGTATTTGCTTTAATATTTTGTCTGTAGACGTGAAGCCATCAGGAAACGTCCTCTCCTTCTGATGATTTCGTTGCGTGTTCTTGTGATTTGTTTTTCCCGGCAGTTTCGTCGATGGATTACGGTACTCTTTATTACCGGTCTTGCTCTTTTTCGGTCAAGTCACTGATTCCTCATCATGCATGCGTACGGATACTCACTTCGTGTCAACCGCGGCTAAAATTATCAATGAACGTTCAGTTTAGAGGATATACGTGGTCTCAAAATGCCGAATGGAATGTCGGCGTCAGTCATTCGCAATGTGGTTGATCTGGAACTCTCTCCCAATGAATGGCATCTGTGCGACAAGCATTCATTCGTTCAAAGTGAGATTTCATGAAGCATTAGAACACTTTACACTCCAATATAATTCAAACTGCGACCAGCAATGACAGAAGCCCCGTCAGAAACTAACATTTTACACCAGGAATTGTATGTATCACTGTCTTTTAACCATAACACGAATAAATGGGATGATAAAAGCATGAGGTTGTAAATTATTCCCATAATAAAACTTTGGAAACTTTGTAACTTTACTATTCATCAGATTTTCCATTCTTTTTACCAGTTAATCCATGTGTCCGTACATCTATATTTATCTGTTTATACAGATATGTTCATCTCAGGACATCTGGATGCATGTTTATAGCCCAAATGTGTAGTTGTTGTGTGTCTGGTTAACTCACTGATGATACTTTCAATCGGGCACTGTGTTGAAACCAAAGCGCAAAATCAAATCTCTCTTTTGCTGAACTTTAACAGCAAAATGCAACTCCTAATCAAACAGATTGGTCCTTGACATACCCATTTGATGGAAAACATTTTATTGTGCTGTCAAATGTCAAGATAAGTTGGCCTATCCAAATACAGCCTTTCTTACTGTTCCGCATTCAAATTTCACCGTGCGCGCTCATATCTATCGCGTCGTTGATGTTGTTTATATCATCTTGACAATTCTGTACCTAAAGCCAACAGCGATAAACACTTCGGGTTTCGGTGAAAATAGTATAGCGTTTATGAATCAGTCTATCGCAAATGAGGTGAAACGTTGCCAACTGCTCCAGTCTTGTGACTCGGGAATACGTGACAAAGAAAGTATATCCAAATCAATTACGTATTTAAAATTTTCTTTTTTTTGCGTGGGGGGGGGTTACCAATCCTGGTTTATACCCACATCAGCATGTTACCGCATCAGAGAGCAGAAAAGTGATGCTAAAGTCATTCTGAAATGAGATCAGATTAACGGGATTATAAATTAATGGTACTGATAAATATTTGTTTTGCGTTCCGCAGTCACAATACCACAACGTTTATATAACATTCTATGGTGATTTTTAAATTAAAAAAAACCTTAGGATATTTTTCCAACAGTAATTACTTCATTACTTGATAAACCTTGTGATTGCATCAGGGTGCGTATTCCTGCTGGTTTGTTTTATGCAATTCAACTTATTTAAGTGTAAATAGGAAGACTTGCTATTAGCAGGCGCATGCTAATAATGTAATTTAAACGGCTTGAAGATTCATCCCAAACAATCTATTGGTCACCGCAAACAAATCGCACCAAATGTCTTCATTTTCAATGTGCTTTTCTTTATTTCCAATGATTATGCGCCATAAATCTACTGCCATATACACAATGCAGGAATGTGTCACGTTTACTGCTTCGTCCTCTAGCAGACAAATCGTGTGTTCCGTGGGAGAAAACCCCCGTTTATTAGCAAAAGCTAGACGGATATTAGAATGCGTTTTGTCACTTTAATCATGGTACTCGTGAACAGTCCGACGGTTTACTGTTCGCGAAAGCTTACCACTGATTTCCGAACTTGTGCGTGACACATCATAGTTGCCCGTGAATTGTTCAAGCTCACTGTGATTGGTTGGGTTGTCCAGCCAATCGTCGATGCCCACAAATGACCACTGATGGACCACAGTTATCACGCGCGTGTGTCAACAACCACATTATCAAAATGGGAACTTTATTCAACTACTCTCTGCGTCCTATCTGTTAGCCAAGCTCTCGAAGCCTGTGATTATTAAACAAATGGATATTTACATTATAGCTATTATAAATAACCCATATTAATTTGTAGTGATTTTTAGTTTTTCAACTGAAAATGTATTCACGTCTGTGGTGTATGCACTGGTTTGTGCACGTGTTTCATATCTTAATCAACATACCTGCTCAGTCCATCTCTACCGTTCTCATCCGTCAGGAGGACTCGTACGCAGTCTATCCGGCATTTTTTCCATGCCCAGGATCTGCACTTTCCGTTCGATTTCACGATCGGAATTCAAATGGTCTATTGGTGTATTCCGAAGATGTTAGCACGGGTAGATTCCTCTCAATCACTTTACTGCCAAATCGGAGATTGAAAATCGAGCTGGAACTTCGTTTACCTCAATATCGTACAACTATGGACCATGTGATTCTCATGCTTGATTGTGCTCAGTTCGAAGGCGGGAGCACTCACACGGAACACACACGGTGGCACCTGTTCACTTTGCGTGTTCTATCACACACAGATGGTTCCAACACTATTGATAAGATTGTTGTGAGATTGGATGGCCACGAGGCCAGTCACACGTTCAATCCAGGGATATTCTACACAAAGGAAAATTCTTCCGGATTGATTCCAAAGTTTGGGGATCAACTTTTTGTGGGTCAGTTACCACATGGATTACGTAAGGATGCTACACAGCGTGCTCTGTTCAGCGCAGCCATGCAACCCACACTAATGGGTCGAGTACAGTTGTTTATGGAGAGTACATGTGTGTCGGAATCTCAACCGCTTGCACAAAATGAGTGTATTAATTTACAGCCTCTAGTCCTGTCTGAAGGATCTTTATGGACACCGAATACATTAATTCATGGTAGTGAACCATTGTTCTGTCCGACAAAGTTGGACACTACTGATAACGAAGCGCATGGGTCTCCTGTGAGCGAACCATTGTTCGAACGTTCAACGGAAACCTGCCTGGGTGAGTGAATAACTTCCAAGACACATTGCTTGTTCTGATTGTTCAACAGATTAGTTCCTATGTGTGAGGACAGTATTACTTCTAAATAAGAATATATTACTGAGAACGATAGAACCATAGATGAATGTGCTAATCGATAGAAATGTAGATAATTCATTTTAGTTAGTCCATAAATTGTGCATAGTTTCACTTGTTGTCAGCTTGTTAGATAAATGAGTTAAGGCAAAACATGGACTTGCGAATCATTATGTTTCGCAAACACAATCAAGCGGCTCATAAACTAGTTTCCCCTAGTGAATTTGTTTCCTTCAGGCAGCTTGCTGAATACCGCACATCAAGTGGTAACGTACGACGGTTATTTCCGAACTAACTCTGACAGTTTCATGACCTTTCCGAGTAGGTATTTCAAAAATAGGTAGCTGCCATGTTTTACAGCCGGACATTTTTAGCATTCTCTGGGGAGTCGATGAACAATAAAAACGGTGCGTGCTTTACCATCCATCCTATTTCTCGTTGTTTCAGCTCAGACTTAAGCAAAATATTGACCAGTGCTGTGCTGTAGCATGCACGATTTGGCACATTTTGTACGATTCAAGAGCAATTATCGAAAAGCAATGTACAAAATCCTCGGTTTCATTATTTCGAATCATTACAACAACCAAAAACACTCTTTATTGGTTTCATCAGAGATGGATGGCAGTCATATATCGGGGGTTGGGTGTTTGCCAACAGATTATGGAGGAAACTGGAAAGTTAAACTGATAGATGGTCATGATGATGCTAATCATCATTGTTGCTGAAACGTCACTCAACACATTTAAAACAGGTCCAAATATATTTTCAACCGGGAATCACTACGGGTTTAAAGACACCCCACACCATGTGCCTTCAACCGAATAGTTTTCCTTAGTCTTTTGGGCCTGTGATTCGAAAAGGGACAATCGGTCCAACTCAGGCTATCTCAGCACGTTCTTGATTTTTCTAATGAACATGAAAACCACGTTTGTCTTAGAATAATGCCGAATGACATGCTGAAAGCTGTTGTGCGTGCAACATCCAGAACTATTGCTTGAGCACCATAATTTGTCGATGTTTGTTTGCGTGTAGACTTTGAAAAGTTTTCTGCAGTCTTTTAGAAAGGGACTACCAACCTTTGCCACAGAAAAATCCTGTCTATGTAAGGCTGTAACAGGAAGCGTTTGAACACCAATACGTCGAAGGATAATTAACCAATCCCCTTCGCATTTATCATTCGTCATGGCAACCTATTTTTCTGTACTTTATCTGGGCAAAATTCTATTGAATTTGGTGTTACTCATTGTATACATCAATCAGTAACAGGGACAGCTATCTTATACACACACTAAACAACCGCATATGCCCTGGACGGCAGATTCGCTCATCGTTTCTCACATTACCACATTGTGCACATCTAGCAGTCGTTGCTCAAACGTAAGCACCTCTTGTCTGCAGTCAACAATTCAAATAGAAATGGTTGAGACTGGGAATCAAAACATGAATTACACATTTCACCCTTAGCATCGGTGGTATATTGATTATATTGATAAATCAGTCTGATTGCTCTCAGGTATAGCTGTTCTTATTTCAATCAAACCGAATTTGTGAACAGCCTCATCTGAACATTCATCATACACATAGAGAGAACAAACAATGTGATGACACTGCTGGATGTTTATCTCATGAGCAAGCTACTTGTCCAGTTGTAACTCATTTCGCAATCAAACTAATTTTGTTGATGGACAAGTAAAACACAATGAGGTTATTAGAAAAAATGGGGCTGAGGTCAACTTGGGACTGAATGGAGAACATCCGGTTTTCCAAGTGACACATCATATGCGTCAAGCCGCAAAGGTGATGTGAAGGAATGGAAGCCAATGGTCGCCGCCATTTGGGATAGACACAATAATATCGATTGTTATTGTGATGGGTTTATTTAAATTAAAGAATATATAGTAAGTCGTGTAGACCCTGAAATGCCTGAGTTCCTTTATTGAGAAAAGTCACACGTGAGCTTTGAGAAGGTTGCTCATTATCCAACAATATGTGCCAATAGAACTGAGATTGTATTCAGGGTTTGGTGCTTGAAATTTTGTTACCTTGTGAATGCAACTGAACCCGACTCCCTGACCTCATTCATCTGTCTTCCTACCCATTCATTACAAAAGTAATTTGTAATCAGACTAATATAATAATTTTTACAAAAGCAGAATATCTATCTCTGCCAATTTGAGGGTGGATTTTCGACCATACACATTTTGTTCTTCATCAATCATGCGGCTAATATTATAAACTAGAAACCATTGACAACCACCTGCATGCTCAAAACGGATTGGTGATTGTCGTCAGTGCGGTATTCCACAAATTGATTTGCAAATTGAATACATGGTTAAGAGAAAGACGTTGTCTTATGAAGACCTTCACATTTTGTGGTTCTGGAATGTGTCTGACCAAAAGCAAATATTTTAGCTGTTTCGTTCAGTCGTTTTGAAGTTAAATTTTGGGACTTTGTAGGGTGGCAGTCTTCGTACCCAAATTCGATTGAATGCCAAATGGCAGACACTTTACTCGGTAAATTAAGTTTTGTTTATCCTCTAGGACCGAAAATGTCTTCACAGAAGCATCGCAATGTCTGTAGTGTAAAAGCAATCATTAAATTAGTTGACCGGTTCTCCGAGATATCTCAGCGGGCCAATATTTGATAACTTCAGTTGCGACCATTACTATTGCAGCATCAAACCTTGTTTCCAGGAGTCTATGAAAAAGAGACCAATAAAATCCATGCACACCTGAAAGGTGTTCCAAAATCATATCGTGAATAAAAAGTTGTAACCTCTATTTATTTGAAGATGTTTTCAACTTTTCAAAGGTGTTACATTTTACTCACTTGAATGGTGGGTTGGTAATTCTCAGACGAGAAGGAAGTTCTTTGCCAGACAACCAGCTGGATGATTGATAACCTGCGAAAGACATCTACTTCAGTTATCACTGAAATGGAAAATAGTTCAGAGGAATTACTTAACAAGTTCACGTCACCAATGGTGAAGTGTACCGTTTGTTTTTACTTTGACTCAAACTAATGTTCGCAGACAGTATAGATGTACGGAATTCTAAGAGATGAGGGTACCTCCAGACAAAGAGAAACGATCAAGAATCTGGCGAAACCTGGTGCATAACGCCGAATAACAACTGAAAAACATGACGCCTTCGGGGCAAATAAGGAAACCAACGAATAAACACTCTATCCCCGGAATTGACCGCACACAAGTGAGAATGTACAAATCTGTCAATCAATTCCTAAACCTATGAGAGATTAGATTGCCCAAATGACTTTGACAGACGACGTTTATTTACGCGCATTATTGACAACCAAAACATCATGAATGAACACAGAGTCACTTAGTTTTATAATACTTTCTCCAACAAAAAAAGTCAATCTTTGTGAGAAGTGGTATTAGTTCCTTCTAGCCAGGAAAACGGAAACGTCCACTTTGGCGATGCATTTGTAAGCGATCAAGCAGCTGATTCCGTTGTGTGCATATATAAAATGCGAACCATTAGGTTCATGTTTCAACAAAATGTAAAGAGTATAGCATTTACCCTAGACAATCTACCAGTTTTCTTGCATACAGGAGGTTCACACTGAGTGGCAGCTACTTGAAAAAACAATAGGAATCAAACACTCTACCGTCACGTTGTTGACGTATTTATTAAGTAGGTACGCCAAAGTATTATTGAATCGAATAATTGGACGGGTTAATATATATTTTACTCTTACGTCTTAGTTACGGCCACGATGATGCAACTTGGTGTTTTGCATTCGTTTACGCGGAAGAAATTACAAAACCCGGTAGATTTTGATGCATATTGCGGACACGGTTCCACAGGGTGTGACGTGCGTACCTGTTTACAGGACACAACACTTGAAGGTCAGCTCAGAATAGCTCCATTCAAGAATGGTGTATTGCCCAAAGAGTTTTGCTTGGTTTGTGCTATTAATGCTCATCATTCGATTTCCATTGCTGCACCCAACTTGAGCCGGTGTTTTCATTTTTAGTGAAAATTTACCCTAAGCACAACTGGCATAGAGATTCATGTACATTAGCCTCATGTTATGATCCTTTCTGACAATAATCAACTAAGAACGGTAAGGATCACTGTTCTCTACCATAAACTCTGGGGTCACCAATTAGAAATCCCGGGGGGGGGGGGGGTCTTTATATCGATTACTATCGCATAAAATGCGTCTCACCTGACTGAACATTGATCGGTATTAACTATATAGTTCAATATTTGGAAATTGAGACGGGCTTCTGGTTGCCAAATACGGTGCTTCGATGCCGCAGGACATACATTGACGATTACTGATAAGCTGACCGAAATAAATAAGACTGAAACCACTCGAACAGCAAGATTGTTATCCTGAAATCAAAAATTGATTAATCCGCCTAAGGATAAAATAACTGTCCAGTGTTTTTTGTCTCATACGGAAGTGCATTTCCCGCATAATTTCAAATGATTGTTCTACAACCAATCGAATTGTGAGTTAACGAAATGTGCGATGCATCAACTGTTTCCATTTTGATTCCTATTGATTGTTTCCGGGATAAACTTGGGCATGTGGAACACTCGCAGTCGAAGGGAGGCAAAACTGCGCAAATATGAGATCGGTCAACCATTGAGAGGTCTTTCATTGATCAGATTGAAGTGCGCAGACAAATTACGGGGTACAGGCTAGTAACGGCCACATCGAGTTACGCAGTTAGACACATGAATTTTCGGATGCTTTGTTTTTGGTTCTTGTTTTTTTAGCGGAATTGAACCCAATTATTTAGACCGTTTTGTATTATTTCATTCGAACACAATACTGGTCAACAGTTTTCGCTAGTTTCGCAAATATGATCAATATTTTATACTCTGACTTTAGATGACCATTCATGTGATATATTTTCGCAGTTGAAGAAGTAGAAGAATTAACTGCGGTGTACTG